GTACAATTAAGTTTATATACGTATACGTATGTAAGCCTGTAGTCCATTCTTATGTACAGGGTGTATCTTGTATATTCCTAGGACCTGCTTTGATCTGGCACGGATGGGTGTCTGTGATACCGAATTAGCACGTGCTACAGGTTTAAGCAAACGTTTACGTATTCCAAGTATGGGCGCCAATTTGTGCTTATATTGTGTATCTATTTCTGCCTTGGTAAACATGTTTATTATGTACACACACACTCATACATGTACATATCTATTAAGCACACACACACTCATACATGTATCTGCTTATGGGGGCTGTGCGTTTGTACTTGTTTTGTGTATATAGTTATGCCGTGATAATCTCTTCCCTCCTTTGATTTAATGTTTATGCGACAGTAGTCAGTTCGGTATCGGTGCACGTTCGGGGTTTCTTGCCTATTCTACGAACACATATACGCATACCCCTATATAAGTCCTTGTCTCAGATTCATGCATATTCTACAAACACACGTACGTTTACTCTCTCTCTCTCTATATATGGTACCTATATAAGTGCTTGTATCACATGGTGGGGGGGGGGGGGGCGTGTTGCATATTCTACAAACACACATACGTATACTGATATATAAGTCCTTGTCTCACATTTATGTGGTTTTTGTTTTGTATATTCTACGTACACACATAATAACACACTCATACGATCCCTCCTCCTCTCCCATGGACACACACACCTGCTTCTGGGGGCAGGATAGTATTCTTCATGTGTATGTATCTGTGTACTTGATCATTCTACGAACACACATAATAACACTCTCTCATACGATCCCTCCTCCTCTCACATGTACACGCACACCTGCTTCTGGGGGCAGGTTAGTATTCTTCATGTGTATGTATCTGTGTACTTGATCGTCGCCCATGAGGTTAATAAAGTCTTTCACAAACCGATCGTTCGCTGCAGCGATGCCGTGTTCATTGAAGTATGCGATGGGTCGATCCACGCGCTATGTGCAGGAACAGAAGAAGAGTTAAATAGCGCAAGTGTAATGTTATAACATAATGGATAATGTGTGAAAGACCAGAAGAGGACTTAAACAGGGCAAGTGTAATGTTAAGACGCAATGAGGAATGTGCGGAGTTCAATATAAAGCAAAAGAGAGTATCGTTGGGACCATCCGCTTGCTATATGGAGCAACGGAGTAAAAACTGGAGTAACAGAGTAAAATTTAGAGTACCGGAGTAAAAAGTCAAATCCGCTAAAGTAAGAACAGGAAGCGACCGCTCGCAATGTGGAGTATCTGAGTATTTATTCATACGTGTTACATGCAGAACGACATGAATCATAACTATACTCGAGCGGGGGAAGGTAGAGATGCGAGTGTCTGCTTACTCTGTGTGTGACAGTAGAGCACTATGTGAGATGGTTGTAGAAGAGCATGCCGGCGTATACGGAAACAGCAAACACACTACACATTAAACACGTATGTGTAAACACGCTGAACATACTAAAGTAAACAGTAAACACACTAACGGCTACGCAATTGTAAATACGTATAAAGTAGACGAATTCAACGTTGATCTAAAACACACTAACGGTTACGCAATTGCAAGAACGTACAAAGTAGAAGAGTTCAACGTTGACCTAAAACACACTATAGATTACGCAATTGTAAATACGTGTAAGGTAGAAGAGTTCAACGTTGATCTAAAACACACTATAGATTGCGCAATTGTTAAAACGTACATAATAGAAGAGTACGCGTTTCAAGACGAAGTGCTTGGTAGACGTATCGTTTCCTCGCTGCCACAGGCACAAGAGCATACGAGAAGTTAACGTATATGTATATAAGTATATACACGAGTTTAGACCTACAATATTAAACATAGACATAGACACTCACTACTACTCATATAATATTACATAGACAAGTGTTCATATAATATTACATGCACAAGTGTACATATAATATTACATGCACAAGTGTAGACACAGAGTATACAGCACTATCCACAACATATAGAGTACCATACACAACATTAGCCATAGACACCAAGTACTACCTTAAAAGGTGGTGGTTGATATAACATTACATGCACAAATGTAGTCACAGAGTATACAGTACCAAACACAACATAAGCCATAGACACCAAGTACTATCATAACAGGTGGTGGTTGATATAACATTACATGCACAAGTGTAGTCACAGAGTATACAGTACCATACACAACATAAGCTATGGACACCGAGTACTACCTTAACGGTTGGTGGTTGATATGATATTACATGCACAAGTGTAGTCACAGAGTATACAGTACCATACACAACATAAGCCATAGACACCAAGTATACAGCACCATACACAACATAAGACATAGACACCAAGTATACAGCACCATACACAACATATACAGTACCATCCACAACATCAGCCATAGACACCAAGTATACAGCACCATTCACAACATCAGCCATAGACACCAAGTACTACCTTAACAGGTGGTGGGTGGCTGTACGCATCCTTTCCTCTTCCCCATGGACACAGCAGCGTGATGGGAAGAGTTGTGTCTTGCAACGGACCAATAGACGCATGCACATGAGCCCTGACAAGAGAACAAGGGAGAAGGGAGAAGGAGGGTTGGTATGGATTATCAGACGAGATATAGATAAGTAACATACAGATTGTAGATGATACAAAGAAGGAAGGGTTCGGTACAAAATCTCAGACGAGATATGAATAAGTAGAATAAAAATAATAAAGGAAACAGAGAAGAAAAGGGTTGGTGCATTTTGACTCGTCTATATGGATGCAGAAGAAACTGCAGTCATAAAAACGTGCATATTGACACACAAACACACAAACACACATATAGATATATATATACATGTATACACTCGCATATATATCAATCCAGTTGTACAGTCTGTGACACCGTGTGTGATCGGTATCTTATTAGTATACATACATTGAGAAGGAGAAAGCCATATCAGTACGTACAGGTACATTTGTGTACAGTTCTTAAACAAACAGAACAACGATGCATACGCGGTAACATACTACATAGCCGACTATATATATATATATATATATATATGTGTGTGTGCGTGTCTCTGTGTGTGTGTCAACATTGACATATACATATAGATATAAACATGCATAAATACCAAACGTACATATGGATATGTATTTTAGTGTACGCATGTATGCATACGCATGTGTGTGTACATGTACAGATATGTGCATATATATACATAAACTTGATAGATTGAGATATAAGAATCTATAAACTACATGCAAACAAATATCAATGTATATATATATATCCCTATTAAGTATAGAGATTCACAAACATATAGATAGATACATACATACATCTATATTTGTGCATATACACACGCATTTACCCTACCTACTTCTACATATAAACATACTGCAACGCCGGATGAGTCGTATAGTCGTAGTATAGTTCAACAGGCTCATAGAAGAAGTTATAGACCAACGGCGTATTCCTGCCGCGAGATTGCGGCCAAGGGATGGGCTTTTCTTTGGCAGCCTGCAGAGAAAGTTTATATTTAGATATATATATACATATATATATAACAGACAATCCGTATATATATATATATATATATATATAAGACACAGACAATCCG